CCCCCCCCGGGCAAGCCGAGCGGCAGCAGCAGCAGCAGCAATGTGTGTGGCGAGAGCTGCAAGGGGCTCGAGCAGAGCCCAAGGAAGCTCAGCTGTGCTCTGCCAGGGCTGAGAGATGCCCCTTGCCTGCATCGCACAGGCCACGGGCAGAAGGGAAGCCTTGGGCCCCGAGAGGGTCGGTGCAAAGAAGCCCAGAGATGCACGTGTTGGCTACAGACTCGTTTTATTGCAAAGGGATGAGAGGGCACACTGGAGAGAGACAGACAAGGCACAAGCAGGCAGCTGGTCAGCTCGAGCTTCCACCAAGGCATTGCTCCAAGCTTCTCCCAGCAGTGGCGGTGGCTGTGGCAGGGAGAGAAGAACGCCCTTGGGGAGATGGTGCTGTTCCAGCGATGGCCACTGCCTGGCACATGGCAGCATAAATGAGAAGGAGCAGAGAAGAGAAATTATAAGAGAAATGAAAAACATAAGATCTGCTGAACACCTGTAACCGCACTGCCTTATGTGGTAATTCTTGATGCTTTGCCCTTTACTCAGGAGCTCAGCTGTGGATCAGGACTGTATCTCTCACTTGCCAGTTATTCCTCACTCAGGGGTTATTTCTGCAGGATTTAGCAAGGCCCGCAGCTTCCACGGCGGTACCTGCTGTACCGGTAGGAGAAAGGGCTGCAGTATCCAGCCCCATAGGATCTTCCATAGCCGTAGAGACCCCTGTAACCCAGGGAGGAGCCTCCATAGCCATAGAGACCCCCAGAGCCCAGGGAGGAGCCTCCATAGCCATAGAGACCCCCAGAGCCCAGGGAGGAGCCTCCATAGCCATAGAGACCCCCAGAGCCCAGGGAGGAGCCTCCATAGCCATAGAGACCCCCAGAGCCCAGGGAGGAGCCCCCGTAACCCAGGGAGGCTGCAAGGACGGGTGCTCCAGAGGAGCCCACAACTGAACTCTGGGGGAAGGAGCTGAGGATGGGGCCGGGGAAGGTGACGACCACGGGAGGCGGCTGGATCACAGTTGTTGAGTCAGGGCACTGCCGGACGCACGGCTCGTTGCAGCTGTCAGCGATGGGCTGGGGGCAGGCAATGCCGCAGCTGGTGGTGGGGCACAGGTCGTAGCAAGACATCTTGCGAGGGTGGAGGTCAGCTGCAACACATAGAGGCAATTTTACTAAGCACAATGCATTATCTACATTGCTAGAAGTGCTATAGAGTTCCCTTGCTTTCCTCAGACAAGACTACTTTGTAGCGCACAGATTTACCTATATCCATGAAAACTGAAAAATGTAGCAGATTCGTAAAAGTAGATACCCACATCCTTTGGTGAGTCAGTGTGTTAGCAAGGACTAGGACTTCAAGGATGGAATGTGTTGTAATGCATAACTTTGTGACACTGACTCTTCCTTCCCACTGATCCTTTTTGTGCTGAGCCTTGTGGGAACATGGATTATAAGGTATTCCCTGTTCAAATTTACTTGCTAACTTGTTTAATGTGAGTGTTCCAAGAAAATTGCAAAGATCATTATCCCTGGTTTCCAAACACTGAATCAGTGCATGGAGATGTTTAGGACTAGCAACATAGCTATTTCATTGTGTGCTCCAAGCTCTTTTAAAAATCTCACTCCAAATGATTCTCCCCCATTTACACAGAAAATCCATTGTCTCAACTGTGAACTCACTTATTTCCTCTATGCCCTTCTCTAGTCATTAAATCAGTCTATTACAGTGTATTTTCAACAGTTCTCATTTCTCTATAGTCTCCTGTTCTCTATAGTCTAGTACCTTATCTCTGCTAGGATTCATAACCCTATATCTCTAACATACAAGAGCATTGAGTGATCTGTAATGGAATAAACTGAACATAAAGGAAAATTAGCTTCTGAGCCCCATGGTTTTCCCATAGACCACGAGGGTTTATTTTTTTCATTTTTCAAATGTTTATTTTTAGTTACCTATATAAACAAATAGAAAAGAAAAATCCATACTGAATTAGCCTATGTCATTTCTTTAGCTGCTAAAAGTGAATAAAAAACAAAATTACTTCTCTACCATATAAAGAAACTTCCGATTTGCTTTGAAATTGAATGCCAATCTCAAATGCAGAAAAGAGCTCTCTAGCACTTTTAATAATTTTGGAAAGCCTTATCTTTTAATCTAAAACTTCACCCACTGGTCACAAATGGAAAAGACCATCCTAGATTAAAGCTTATAGCAAAGAGAAATTCTAGTAGTTGCAAAAAGTGGAATCAGACTTACCAATTCACTAAGAAGAATAGTGCAGAAAAAGATTTGGAAGAACCCTGAGTGGAGAGAGCTTTTATACAATCCCTCAACTGCCTGGGGGGATGAGAGCCAGTTTTGTGAATGCAGATCTAACTAGTTGACACTGCACATTTTTTGTATTGATACCTCTGCAAAGTGATGAAATTGTTTTGCTTTCTGTTTATTACTTGATTCCAGTTATCATGTAACATAACATGCTCGTTATGTCACAAAGTTCTTTCAACTAAAACACTGATGGGTGAAATTAATGCATCTTTCATCTTAAAACATGATTCATGAAATTACTATCAGTTTTCTATCCGCTTTGGAGTTGCACCCTGTATTAAGCTGCTTATACATATTTACTTCTTCTGTTGCTGGCCTATATGATGGCAATGCTCAGGCATTTATCAGAAATAACCTGTTGTGAGGCGTTTCTTTCTAAGTCCCTTACATCAGGCTTCTCTCGCCTTAAAAATAGATTACAGTTTATCATTAAATCCTCAGAAGGCACGTAATATATTCTGCTGGCTTAGTTTTTTCTATCTGAGATCTGATACAATTCATATAGGAAACCATGGAGATTTTTCAGTACTCTTGGAATCAAATTATTTTGGGACCATCCGTCAGCACACAGTGGCAGATGTCCTAAGCATCCTTTAGGTTTTATTTAACCCTCAAACTAGAGCTGAATTTGGTTCTGAAGTGAGAAATATTTATACTTGCAATATTTGGGATAGAAAACTCAAAGCAGCCATCATTAAAATATATGTTGAATTAACAAGTAAATTTGAGATCTACACCAATACCTCTATTTTTTGTAGAAGATGAAAAAGCTTAATCATATTAGAAATAAAGCCTCTCTTTTTCAGAGGAATGGGACAACTGGCAAATGAGATTTCAGGGTTAAAGACTGACTAAGACATAGTCTAATAGCATTAACAATTCACATTGTTTCCTCTTAGAATACGTGAAACTTATTGGTGTCCTGTGTGCTCATCTTCTATGCTTTATCTCTGCCTTTCTTGTGGCATATCTCCAAGTATATTAAATAAGCTCCTCTCAACCTGGTGGAAACTGCCAAGACTTTTTGCTTAATTCAAAGGCTGTTTGCAGTTGTCAAAAGATTTTGGCAGCTCTTATTTCACTTGCACGTCAAACAGATAAAACCACAACCTTTCAGACATCAAGTCTGATAAGTGGAGAGATTCCCAGTGAATACCCAAAATCATAAACACTCATGGATACTCAAACCTTTCGGTTCAGTTTCATCCTCAAGTCTGAAACAGCACATTTTACTGAGATACCCCTTAATTCCTAGTTTGCTCCTCCGCAGTCCTTGATCCTGTTTTACGATTGATCTTGCAGGAAACCACATGTTCCAGACAGCAAGGGTCTGAGGGCATCTCTCAGTAGAGAACAATTATGAGCTGGGAAGCCAGTGGGAAAAGCAAAGGCCAGCTTTTGCTGAGGTTTCTTTCTGTAAGGCACTATTGTTGGTTAAATCATCAACATGGTTATCTTCTGTTATCATCTATTATTTCTAAATGATGAGCTTTTCCAACCCTTGAGATGCATTAAGAGATTTTCTGAGCTATAAAGCTGTCCCGGCAACTTCCGAGAACGTTCAAAGGGATTTTCTAATACCTCACAAACACCCATTAATAGTTGGTACATGCAGTTCCATAATTATATAAAAAAATGTGTACACCCACTATTATGAAAGGTTATTACACTGAGATAGGTAAATCAAGGTTACTTAGATCTTTCCTATAATCAGTTCATGGTTTATAACACTTTTTGGATCTTCATTTCTTTGATTTTCTTTAAATAATCTCTACCTTCCTTTTTAATCAAGTGTACGTTGGTCCAGGAACAGAAATCTACTTACATTAGCTGAAGTATTAACCCAAAAAAAAATCTCAGGACTCAATGAGTTCTGTCTTCACTGTGTCAGGGCTAGAATCCTTTTCACTAATTGCATCTTACCACCTTCTGACGTACTCGATTCTCTTACTCTTATCTTGCAAGGTACTTTTCTTAATACTTAATAATAGGGGGAGAAAACATGTTAAAATATAAATGAAAGTGCAGCTCTTTGAAACAACTCAAAAATGAGTTTCCAGAGGGACTTGTGACTGCCAAGAGAAATTTTTCTCTGTTCCTAGGAGTGAAAGATAATTAGTAGAGAACCCTCCAAAAGCCACTGATAGATGTCCCCAATTTTCTAACTAGTGTATTGGCTTGTATTGAGTAGTTGAAAATAGTGCTAAGCCAGCAGAATGAAGTTTTCAAACGTCATTTGAACTCCTAAGAGAAAATTCACTTCATCTCTAGCTATACTGCCACCTGAATTTATTAAACAGAAAGACTTGTACCCAGACAATGATAGTTCTCCTGTCATCTTAATTATCCCAGACTCCTAAATAAGTGGAGTCAACAAAGTTCCTCCTATAATTCTAAAGAAAGCAATGAAATATAGATAATGGTGATCTCTGTGGCAGACAGCACATGTCACACTGTATGCAAGTTTGAAGTGCCTGTAACACACGAACAACAAGCAAAAACAATTTCAGCACTTTGAGGAGGAGCTACATGTCCTATAATTTGGGGTTGGTACCTAATTATGAACTAGAGCATAGGATGCCTAACATCCCTTGGGCAATCTAAGGAGCTATATAAAAGCTCTCTCCACTCAGGCTTTCTATCCACTTCTATCATCCTGCCCTCCTTGGTGAATTGGGTAAGTCTGATTTCTTTCGAACTTTCAGTAACTCTTCGTTTTAACTTAGAGCTAGGTTCTCTCTGCACTGTGATGTTGTCAAATTGTTTTTCTCTGGAAACAATGTTGGTTTTCTCATTCAGTACTGGGTCCCGGTAAAGACAGGCTACAAAAAGTGAACTTTGGGGTATGCGTAGCGGTTTTGAATCCCAAACTTAAAACATTTTAATGCTGCAGAGAGTTTCTTGATCATTTTAGGAGATAAAGATTTCTTCATATATATGGCCATAATTTCAGCAGCATTCAACAGAGATGTGCCGAATTTTTAAAAGAAAATGATTAAGCTCATCAAGTAGAAACTGTGAACTGATTGTAATGTAATACTTTACAAATTAGTATTACTACAAACAACAGAAGTCAAAATTAAATAATATATGACATCTCTATATTAAAGTCAATAGGCTCCAGGTCACAGTGTGAGGAAGAATATTGACATAGAAGATATAGTTAGTTCCTGCTTTACTACTGATAACCTGTTTGACTGTTCAGCAACATAATCTAATGTTTGAGATTTATTAACATAAATAACCATGTCTTGCAGACTTGCCTCCATCCCCACAAGATGTCTTGCTACGACCTGTGCCCCACCACCAGCTGCGGCATTGCCTGCCCCCAGCCCATCGCTGACAGCTGCAACGAGCCGTGCGTCCGGCAGTGCCCTGACTCAACAACTGTGATCCAGCCGCCTCCCGTGGTCGTCACCTTCCCCGGCCCCATCCTCAGCTCCTTCCCCCAGAGTTCAGTTGTGGGCTCCTCTGGAGCACCCGTCCTTGCAGCCTCCCTGGGTTACGGGGGCTCCTCCCTGAGCTCTGGGGGTCTCTATGGCTATGGAGGCTCCTCCCTGGGCTCTGGGGGTCTCTATGGCTATGGAGGGTCCTCCCCGGGCTACGGGGGGTCCCC